TTTATATATTGGATCGGATTTCCTACATTTTTCAAATGAAATTTCAACAAAACTTCACAGGACTACATAAAATTACCTTGCGGTGGTTCTGCAGTGCAAAAATTGGAAAACACAATTGTTTTTGCACAAAATCAATTTGAAAACACGATTAAACACGCATTCTGTCGCCAGAATGAAAGGGGACAACTCATATCGAGTTATACTTATTATAAAACCCAGGTTGTGTGTGTGTGTGTGTGTGTTTCGTTTATATATGGGATCAGATTTCCTACATTTTCAACTGATTTCAACAAAACTTCACTTTTTTTTTTTTTTTTTTTTTTTTTTGGCAGGTAGTGTTTCTTATTGTCTTGCACACTTTTTTTCTTTTATTTTACATTCAGAATGCTTTAAAATTCCATTTACAAGACAATTGTTTATAATAAAATTCTATTCAATCGGTAGACTCATAACGATTGAAAACAATGTTTTTGCTTGGGTTTGACCAATTCGTAAAAAAAAAAAAAAAAAAAAAAACTAATTAAGATATGCGTGTCCACAGCAACCTTAAACAATAATCTTTGTCAATTTTATTTTTTAGTCTTTATGATGGTCGATACTTGATCTATCTCTTATTGTTACATCCCCCGGGCAACGCCGGCTCTACTGCTAGTTATTAATACACATTTGCAGTTAAATTACATTTCGTAAAATTATCATGTAAAGAAAAACAATATTTAAATGTTGTTTTGGTATTTTTATATTTACCATATAATATTTTTATATCGAGTCAACTTGACAAAAAAAAAAAATGCAATAACTACAGGAGAAAATGTTGCGGTACATTTAGAAAATGTTTATCTATTTATATATCAAGTTACAGTTTTAAAATTCATTCAGAACTGTTTATGGTTTGCAACAATTAAAATTATAAACTATAAATTTGGCTACCAACTATATCGTTGCGCAATGCAAATGTTTTTTTTGCAAACTAGATTCATGCAATTTGTTATTCGTAAATAACACAAAAGTGCATTTTTTAATGTTATATGAAACAACCATTAAAGAAAATTATCTTGAGGAATATATTTCACATCTTTAAGTCATATCTTCCAACGTATTTTTGACCAAAAAAAATATATATATTGCACAATGAATCTGTTGTGGAGTATTTTCACAGTGGAGGCTTGTATTTCTAATAAGTCGTCCTAAATTAGGTCCGACGTACAAAACGTTAGGAACTTGGAAAATAAGAGTCAAAAGCGCAGCAAATCTAGTTGTGATGGTTGGTACTTCAAATGTCCAAATCTCGACTGACGCGCTCAACACCATTCTGCCAGACTTATCACTGCTACTCCTACTTATTATCTATGGGAGAGTCCATTACAATAGAATAGGTACTATGGCATAACAGAATCGTAGGACTATTTTTTTCTTTTTCAAACATCTACACATGGTTCTTTAACTTATGTATGCATGTTCAGGGTTTCTATATCTAGTGCGAGGGCCCCGACCGAACAGTGACTGATGGATCAATGAATATTTGATAATTTTATTTATTTATTGTGATAGATATGTGAATCTAGCAGCATGAGGTAAGTTTAAAGCTGTGAGTCAGTATATATGATAGATAAATTGTTTAGTATATCTGAGTATCATTTCCGATTTCTCAGAAATCATGATGACAAGGTAGTGTTGTTTTATGAGTGGATAGGTTGCACCCATAATATATTGTTATATTTTTGGTAAAAAAAAGAATTGCAGAAGAAAATGTTACAATACACTTAGAAAAAAAGTGTTTATCTATTTATATATCACGTTACACTTTTAAAATTAATTTAGTAAAATCCCAAGAATTCTTCTTCACTATCGTCGCTGTTAAACATCATTCTTATTTATTCATCAGTTAATAGGTTTTCATCATTGTCCATTTCATTTGACAATATATATTGTAAAATGAATCATGGGACTATTTTTTTCTTTCTCAATACACATCTACACATAATTCCTTTACTTATGTATGCATGTTCAGGGTTTCTGTATCAGTGCAATGTGAGGGCCCTTGACTGAACAGTGACTGATGGATCAATGAATATTTTATAATTATATTTATTTATTGTGATAGATATGTGAATCTAGCAGCATGAGGTAAGTTTAAAGCAGTCAGTATGTATAATAGATAAATTGTTTCTATATGGAGAAAAACCACTGCTTTTGTGTTTATAGGTATCATTTCCAATTTCTCAGAAATTATGATGACAAAGTAATTTACATTTATGGTCAGCAGATAGGTCACACCCCTAATAATTTGTGAAATTTTTGGTAAAAAAAAGTGTGACCTATCCGTGAGTACATACGGTACTTCAAGAATTGTAATAGAAAAACAACTATAAAACATATTGTGGGATCACTACCCCAGTTTAGATTTTTTTTGAAAACCAAGCTCTTTTTACACTGATTTCGATAGCAACTACATGTATTTTTTTAATTTTCACAACAGATTAATATATATTTACACCTTGTAACTATTTTGTTTCTGCCTATATTTCTGAGATGAGGTATTTTGTACATTATTTACATTATTCGAACTATTGTCCTCCTCTTTGTCACCATGTTTATTACAACATTTCGGCCATTGTACGCTTTGGCCTTCTTCAGGAGTGTGACTTCAATGCCCAGTTAAAGCAGTGGAGAACTTTCAGAGGGAAATTAACAGGAGATAACTGATAACTGACGTCCATTAAACATGGTACGTGGAACTAGAACAGTCTACCCCAGTGAGCGAAATAAAGCGTTAAGTTCGACATTCCAACCAGCTGAAAAAGGCTGGAGTGTACAACGGCCGAAACGTTGTAATAAATATGGCAACAAAGATGAGGACAATAGTCCAAATAATGTAAATAATGAACTATTTTGTTACTTTAGAAATTTCAACTGAGAATTGTGTATGAATATTTAATAACTTCTAACAACAAAGTGCCTTTCTTCCCTCTTTCACTCTGCCAATAAAACATTGCCAAACCTGTAGACATTATCAGGGGCCATTTAGATTTAGTCACCAACCTTGTATTTCCAATACCCAAGCATCCTGTGTATGATGATAAACTACATCCAGCGCAAGGTTTTGATGAGCATGGCACCACCTCTTAATTGCTGGTGTTCCCAGGTCCACCCAGACCTGGGGTAGTAGCACCTATTAGGGTCCGAGCCATGGGCAAATGATTAACTCCCAAACTGAGGTCAAAACACTATGAAAGTGTAAAAACAGGTTTCTATAGTAAAAATACCAGCAATACATTAAAACAAAATTACCAGCTTTAGATTTGAATACATCAATGACACTTGATCTACAAATTGATTTCTTACAAAGAATATGCATTATGTTCATATGAAGCTATCCTTTAAAATTTGTTGGCATTAAATAACCCATTGAGGTTGATATGTCAAAAAACAAAATAAACAAAACCAAACCAGATTCTCTACAAAAGAAACCAAATCAACACCATGGTGCAAGTTTCTTCCCTAGCATCTGTCATCATTTCAAAGCCAGATTTAAATTTCTGGTGTCTTGTAATCTCAACCAAACCTCACAGTTTCATCCATTATAATTATGAGTAAATTCTTTTAACCAACACCCCCCCATCTCTGGGATCGTTTTTTCATTATGTAGTCGTTAGCCCATTAAGGTGGTCAACCCTCTCTCTCTCTCTCTCTCTCTGATCTTTACACTAGTTTGGTTTGAGGCTCATGCTTCAGAGCATTCCTTATCTTCTGATGAGCCTATAACTGGTCTGAAATTAAGGATGTGTCTGGGGTACACCATTTACCGATACGTTATTCGATGACTCTACCCTGGTTATTTTCCCTCTTCACCATTTCATTTTGCATCAGGCGCCAGGCACCTTTATCCAGATTTATTCCCCCAAACCTGATTGATGTAGGTGTCTCATGTCTGATTACTGGCACGATTCTTGGGTGTCTGAACATGTACTTAAATATAACCTTTTGTGGCACCTTCTCCTCTTTTTGCCTGGCCTTAGATGACATATTGTACCAAAACACCACTTTGGTGGGCGATGTTTCTCCCTTTTCAGCAATGGCCTTTATTGTTAAGTGATTTCTTTAGGCAGCCCTGAAAATAGGACCTGATATTCCACCTATCCCACATTACTTGAAGAGTTTCTGAGTGAAATGTTGCACCATTGTTCACAAAGACTTTTTAGCATCCCGCTAACACTTTCTTATCAATGTCTAATTTTGTACAATTTTGTGCAAAAAGTGGATCAGAGCCTACTCAGCTTAGTAAATATCTTCAGGAAATATCAGCTTCTAATTGGTCAATAAACACACAAGTAGGCATTGCAATCCACCCACGTACAAATATTTTTTCCAGCACGTGACCAAGTTTCCCACCAATTTGCTGTGATCCTGTCACGTGGTTACATCAATAATAAATGGCAGACATAAGCTTGCTCTCTCTCTCTCTCTCTCTCCTTTCATCATTTGCCTAAGAAGATGTGACCTTGAAGGATTCTCGTCTTGACCATGAGTGGTCAGACGTTAAAAGCATGCACATATGTACAAACTTTTCCAAACTACATTACAAACATACAGAACATTTCCAAACAAGCAAAAAAGAACTTTTCTCTTTGAAACATTCTTCTAAAGCTACAGTTTATTCATCATTTCTCAGCTTTGTAATTAATTCAACTTTTGTAAGTTCAGATAAAAATATTCACAGTCCAAGGGACATAACACCCACAGATCTTTAACTTCTACGCATGTACATCAATATACACAAATAAATACAAATGTTATGTTTTTAAAATCATTTTTGTTCAAATATAAATTGTGTGGTCCTGTTATTTACACAGCTATAAGCAGACCTCTACAAATGGTCCATTCATATCAACTTACTCTTACAACTTCCTGCACTGGTCGGCATATACTGTGTGATTGTAAAGACAATATCAGTATCTTTTGATTATTCATTTTGAATGGTGTTGAATTGATCTATCAGCTTACGGCCACATCACATTAAAATACCAGTTCCTATCCAATCACTGAAGTTAAGCAATATTGAACATGGTCAGTACCTAGATGGGTGACTACTTGAGATTACCAGGTGGTGTAAACTTGGATGTTCAGGTGGTGTAAACTTGGATGTTCAGGTGGTGTAATAGATAATAGCTCAGAATTTTTAATTGGAGAGATTAGTTCCAATCCCCCCCCCCCCGGTTACAACAATTTTATTCTTTAACCCTTTATTTTGTGTGACACCCTAAGGTCTTGTATTAGATGAACTAAAGTTAATATAAATAACTGATCTCATTCCAACTTTTATCCATATTTCTACCCCCCCACCCCCAAAAAAAAACCTGATTGATGTAGGTGTCTCATGTCTGGTTATTGGCACAACTCTTGGGTGTCTGGACATGTACTTAAATATAGCCTTTGGTGGGCGATGTTTCTCCCTTTTCAGCAATGGCCTTTATTGTTCAGTGGTTTCTTTAGGCAGCCCTGAAAATAGCACCTGACATTCTACTTATCCCACATTGTTTGAAGACACAATATTGTCCAGAAAGACTTCCTCTACTGTTCGGCATTTGCTGTGTGATTGTAAAGACGATCTTTTGATTATTCATTTTGTAAACTTGTAATGTAATGGTGGTGTAAACTTGGATGTTCAGGTGGTGTAATAGATAATGGCTCAGAACTGCTAATCAGAGAGATTAGTTCCAACACCCCCGCCTCGTTACAACAGTTTTATTCTTTAACCCTTTATTTTGTGTGTCAACCTAAGGTCTTGTATTAGATGATTAAAGTTAATATAAATAACTGATCTCATTCTGTTGTTTATTGGTTGTTTTCATTTTTATTTTTTATCACAGAGGCTTTTAATTTTCTCAGGTTGTATCAGAAGGGCTTTAGGGGGAAAAGGAGACATGTTTTGCGATCCTGGAATTACATCTCACAAAACTTTGGAAATAAATAGTGAATCATGAAAACACCCTTGGAAAATCCACCTCTTCTCCCCAGCTATGGGTTAATTAGTAAAACGTGTATCACTTAATCATTATCTCTAAAAAAAATAAAAATAAAAATTCTTAAAATCTAAAAATATTTTCTGACCTTAAACAAGCAGTGATGGTTTGATAAGTCATAGAAAACCAATCTATCAATAAATGCACCCGAGGATCAACCAGACGAGCATCCTTCTCATCATTATTCAGTATTGTGGCTTTTATCACATCCTGTAATGACCTGATTACCACCAAGTCATCTACCAGTTTGACCTGCAGTCTACAAACTAGGCACAACCTCACAATCTCTGGAAGCACATCTGCCAAGACCTCTGGCAGATTAGTCTGGCACTGGAGGATGTTCCAATGATCTTCTAAGACTGTGAGACATGGAGGGCCAATGTGGCTCTCGTGGCAGGAGACTGAGCAGCAGTAAATCAAAGTATATACAGAGGTTTATGTGTTGACAGAAGATTCTTTTTCATTGATCTGAGTGAATAAATTATGTAGAATATCAACTTCTATTTAATGTTAATGCTCACTATCTAATTTTCTTTTTCTTTTTAATATTTTTTATGGTCTACTGCTTGACCAATGACCCAATCATGATAGATATATGTATTTCTTTCTTTCTTCTTTCTTCTTTCACTCTGTTGTGTTCTCATCTATCATGGCTGACAAATGTACTGCCCTACTCGGCTGAATACACAAGCTCTGACGACTGACTTCTTAACCCAGTCTATGAATAAAAATCATTCTGCCATTTTCCCAAGTGAGTGGAGAGAGGAAAAAAAAAAAAAACTGTAAAAAGGAAGCAAGAACGAACGTTAGACTGGTTGACAACATTGATTTGGATTTGCTCCTGGGGAGCAGCACATTTTAGTTGATTGCTGCTGTACACACCAAAAGGAAGAAGTATTTGGCTCTTCAATGTTTTGGCCGGCAGGTGTTTCCAGTTGCTGACATCGCTTAAAAAGGAATTTTCATTCTCCTTTCAGGTGCCTGTGTAACAAAAGCAGTTGAAGGCAAGCATTTTCTATTTTTTTTTTTTTTACCTGGTTGGCATTTCTGAGACGAGAATGATATATTTCAACCAGCTGCCAATTCCAATTGCAAAGCTTGAATTAAAAGCAACATCTTTTATGATTTTTTATTTATATATATATATATATATATATATATATATATATATATATATATATATATCTGGTAATCAGCATATATATATATATATATATATATATGTATATATATATATGCATAACTATATATATATATATATATATATATATATATATATATATATATATATATAATGTATATATATATATATATATATATATGTATAACATGGCATAAAGAATATATATATATATATGCATAATTTTTCTCTATATATATATACACATATATATATAAATATATATATATATATATATATATATACACACACAGAGACACTATATATATATATATATATATATACACACACACAACAGACACTATATATATATATATATATATATACATGGATATATATATATATATATATACACACACAGACACTATATATATATATATATATATATATATATATATATATACACACATACTATATATATATATATATATATATATATATATTACAGACACATTTGTAGCAGAATATATATGTACGGATGAAAAATTAAATTAGTCTTCAACTACAGATCTACAAAAGATATTAATAATTTTTTGAGCATTATTTTTCTTTTGAATTGAAAGAAATGGATTACAAAATACTTTTTGAGCAGCTTCGCAGAAAACATTTTGTATATCTGTTATATAGAAAGAAAGTTTAAAAACACTGAAAAAAAAAACACAGATCACCAGAAAGCAAACACAGGCAATCCCATTTTGGATAAGTAGATCACATAATGGTAAAAGAAATGTATATATGAGAATTAGTGTAGTATCTAAGGGATCACTATTCAGATCACTATTCAGCGGTTACTTTTCGAGCAAGTATTATTGAGTGTTATTAGCGTGGATGTTATTCAAAGACACCAGGATTGTTCAACAGCATTACTATAGTTGTATCTGTGATTACAAAGTCTCTACTAGTTAAATGTTTCTATATAGGAATAAAATGTTGCTGCCAACATTGTAGTTTGAATTAAGTAGATCATGTGACCATAGAGGAAACGCATATATGGACATTAGTGTAGCATGTAATAGATCACTCTTTCTACTCTATCCCCTATTACTATACGAAACACTATCCTCATGTAGGAGGATGCTACATATATTTATCTTTTGACTAGGAAAGGTGTGATTAAGGATAATGTGTGGATGCAATGCAATTTATATTTGATGTAAAATAGCACATAGTATAAAATAGAATGGAATAATTCAAAGCATAATTGAATTAGTGTTTGGTGTACATGCATATAAACTGAAGGTTTGATAGTTATGTCACTTAGATTTGGATATATTTGTACCTGAGCTCATAAAGATGATGTAATTATTAAACTGTAGTTTAGAAGAATAAAGTTCCTTTACCATGTTAGGAAATGTGAGTTGTAAACCATGGTAAGAGTTCAGGAAAGATTTTAGAGTTCATACTTGCGTGAATATTGCAATGTTCTTTAATGTCTGACTGCATGGTCAAGATGGGAGTTTTTGAAGATTACATCTTGGCAGCAAGGAGAAAGATGATTGAAAAACCGAAGAGAGAGAGCTTACATGTGTTTTGTTTATATAAGGCTGGGTATCACGTGATCGGCTCAACCTTAGTGAGTGGGAAATTACATTCCGTGCGTGCAGGTTATCTGATCGCTTGGAATTGACCAATCAGCAGGGTAGTTTTGAGGAGATCAACCAATGAATGCTTGTCACATGATTTCTATGTACTCTGTGTATGTAATGGTGGTGGTAGTTACCACACTCTATACTATTCATTATACTATTTCTTTATATTGATCACAATTTGGAGGTTACTATTGGAGTGAGTATTATGAAGCAAGTACTATTAGTGTGAGTGGTATTCAAAGGTGTCTGACACCAGTATTGTTCAATAGTGTTACTATACTTGTATCTACGATTATAAAGTCTCTAATACAACGAGCATTACAAAAGTGACGACATGTATTCGTTGACATTACAAAAGTGGCAATGAGTGTTCATTGACATCATGAAAGTATCTTTTTTTACAGTACAACTGAATGTATTGCCTTCGTATAGGTTAAATGATAAATGCTTCAATTTATATGACAGCTCTGCTAGTTTTTTTTTTTTTTTTTTTTAACGTTTCACCCCAAGCAAGGCGGGAAGCCACTAGGACACAAGGGGTTACAGAAGATTTGGAACCAGATCAGATAGGAGTGATGTGGCAGTCTAGTGTCTATGCATTGTCATTATAGACTTAATGAAACAAAAATGCGGGAAAAGTTAGACAATCCTTTTGCATGTGTGCAGATGTATATGTCACAAGTTTACATTGTCTGCACTATGTATAAATTTTAGTTGTAGACTGTATGAAAGCAGAAAGCTATTTCCTAGAGTTGCATCCTGTAAACAAATTAGCAGAATGTCATCTCTAAATGTAATTTTTGTAATGTTGTATACTCGAAATAAATAAACAAAAGTTGTGAGTACTTAATTGTGAGAATTTCAATTCTGCTTGTGTGACAAACAATCAAATGACACCCTAATCAATGTTAACTGAAAGTGGACAAAAATTGTCATATTCATTGGTGCATAATTATCAGGCGTTTTTGGAGGTGAATTATTTAATAAAAATTGCTGTTTTGTTTACTTTTTTAATAAAAATATTATTTTATTTTTGGGTTATAAAAATGCATTATTGTTAAAATACATTAGTTTTTTTTTTTTTTTTTTTTTCTTCAACCTACCACCAATCTATGGTTGTTATAGCTACAACAATGCAAAAGGGTGGATTATCTCCTTTTGGTTGAGATGAACTCCTGAGTGTGATGAAAATGGTTAGTTTTTACTTAGCTGCTAGTAGTCAAGACAGGCTAGGCTAAATTGTCTTGCCCAAGCCAGCAGACAAGACAATAGCACCATTTTCCTCTTCTCATCATAGACATCTTACTTATTATAAAATGCA